ACATGTGCCATTTTTTATTTCGTTTGAGCCTCGTTTGAGCCACGCAACCGACACCACTATTCACTCACGCGTTACCGACTGACACTGACTGTATACAACTGAATAATGAACCGATAAGGCGGATTATATCCGTTGTTGCCAAACACGAGCACATAATATTATTATTGAGACAGGGCAGTACTCAAACTTCCAAAGGGCTATAACTTTGCTACTTTAATTTTACCAGAAAAATGGTAAAGGAAAAAAACAGTTCTTTTGATCAGATCTACTCACTGTTAAAATAAATGACTTAACTTCGAAGTCACCCTGTATATATATATAAATATAAAGAAGGTATCTTGACAGGTAATGAAGGTATCAGGATAAGAAACCAAATATAGGTTAGTACGTACATGAACCACAGGGTGGCGCTGATTGCCAATGGGCGGAACCAACTCTAGGAGGGACCAACGATATTTTATGAAGAAATTTCTGAGATAGTGGTTAATAAAATACTATAACATTAGTGTCCAAAAGATTTCAACACAATTCTGAATCGCGGAGGAAGAAAGATTTAGGTAATACGTGTGAAAGTACACAATCAATAAACTATGAAATTTGCCAAAAGAAAATAATTTAAAAGGGTTTGGCCTAGGAATGGGCACTCTACCATTAATAAAAAGAAATTCAAATTACTGGTTAATGATCAAAATAGTAGAAAAAAGGTTACGTGATTTTGGCGCATTACAATAACACACACGTAATGTTAAGTTTCTTAGGCTGGCGGCCATATTTATCGATCATCGATGCTTATCACCCATCCGTAGATAGGTGACGACGAATAACCGACACTCGGCGCTAGAATTTCGTGACATCTTTGCGGCAGCGAAGACACAACCGAATACCAAAATCCGCAACTACAATAAAAAAGAGATATCTTGATTCACTTTTTATTCTGCTTAGTCAAGATGGGAAAACCACTTTCAGTTTGTTTCATATATTCTTAATACCTTTGTAACATAGGAACGGTAGTACAGACCGATTCCCAAACTAAAGGGCACTATCCCTGGCATATCAGTAGTGCAGAGCCACTGACCACTTGTGTGTGAGAGGGATATTATGTTTTTTAGGAAGGTGCTACTGATGACCAGAACAAAACTGCATTAGGTTTCAGGCTGGACCTTGTGCCAAGTGAGGAGGTTAGATGGTGGACGATATTCCTAAGCCCTAAGGGGTTCAGCTGTTTCCATGTATTTGCTGCATATGACGAACCGTGTGCGTGTCAAATCATCTGATCGATGATCTTAACTACGCCCAGGTTGGCTTCCTATCAAAGTGTTGACTGTGTTAAACTGTGCTGTGCGGTAATATCATTCAGGTTTCCTGTCAGAATGGAAGTCCATTCTTATTATCTGGAGCTCGACCATAGAGATCAGTCTGGAACATTGAATTTAAGGTCCTGTTCTATAAAAACACTAGACTAGTAAATTATACGTTACAGTACAAGCACTAGTTAATATAGTCAAATGATATATTGTTCCATATGTCGACGACGTCACCGCTGAAATTATAAGTACAGCACTGATCAAAATGACATTTCATATGTCAATTTGTAAATTTAAAAATGAAGCCCAGAAATGTTCTGGTCGAAGGATTTAGCAACAAAATAACAAGAGCGCATGCATAATATTTAGACAGATTTTAATAGAATAACACTGGCCGTCCGGTAAGATCGTCCCGAAGAAAAACGTGGCAGTGTTTCCGAGATGCTTTTTGCCTTCATTTAGTACGTCCCCCTCGTCGTCTAAGAACTGAATGTAATATCTCTGAAAACGCTATTGAGTTACTTTTTTGAAAGATGAGCTATCGATGAACCAAAATTTCTCCGATAATGGACTTCTACAGTTATAATAATGTAGGAAGAAAGGCCACACAAAATGAGAAGATATCAGAGTTGAAAATAGTACAGACGAATCTGTAAATAAAAAATCACAGTGGTAATTATTACAGCATACTTTTTATGGAATACAGCACTGCACGCCAACCATTGTCATCTACACAGATGCGTAGAAAAGCGTGTAGTTAATGTGTAGCACAAAAATCGCCTGAACCAAAACGATTGACACTGTGGGATAAAGAGGCGAACCCATCATCTACGATGGTTATCTTACGACCAGTGCAAAGTCACTCACCCATCGCAAAGCCTTTCTGGGAGGTCATAGGATGTAAGTTTGCATGTGAAGACGACTATAATGTCTGTGTAGAATCAAGAGGCTTCACTATATGACTGAATGAGCTCAGCACACATATTTATGGTGTATTCGAGGTGGTCCCCAGTTGATGACAATCGTTTAGGTATTATACTTATGATGCAAATGTGTTAACACCACTTCCTGCTATGAATATTCTATGACCAAAATGACTGTCCGTTGCCCGGTAAAGTATATGCTACCTAGCGATTGCTCACTGGGGAATGATCTCAAATCTGACAGGCGTTTATCAAACAAGCCGGTCAATATATATAATTTCAGCAAAATAATATTCAGGATCTTCTTCTTCTATCACTAAATGTTTCGTTAGACATTTATCTTCGTCTTTAGTCATGAGACTGTTGAACGACGGTGAAACTTCTGCACTTTTTTTCCGAGAATGTATCGAGGAGCATCTCTTCTAGCAGAGTTCAAGAATACAGTTTCTCTGAAGATCAGAAGACCTCAGCCACTTCCTCTCAGTTATTCTACTTCCTCATTCCAAGAGTTAACCGCCTGATTATTTACAGGTTCTTTTTTCCAAGAACAATGCTCGGTGGTAACGCCACTGCCTATTCGAAATCCATTACGTAGATGCTCTGCGAAATATTATGCGATAACTGACTGGCAATTTATCGGTGTATGCCTTGGAGCCGCCACCGTTTATTTCGCTCCATTGCTCCAGAATTTACTGGGCCAAAGCGACAGCTATTGTCTTTATGGTGCACTGCGATTGTTCTCTTGTTCTGTGTAAATGCAGCAATGAACGGAATGATCTACAATGGACTTGCCTCTTGCTCTGTGATAACTGTACATGGATGAAACGATTGAATATTTTTTTAAGATTTACCTAATTCGTTATAAATTGAATGACACCACCATGAAGGTACAACTACCAAATTCGAACGAATGCAGCACATAATGGCAATCCGCCGTATTCCTTTCAGGACATGATAGAGGAGGAGTGCAACAAATCCAACCCTATATACGACGGTTGTTTCAAAAATATTGTTCCGACATTTTTTTAAAGGCACAAAGAATTAAAAAAAAACGAATTCATCATTAGAAACGTTGATCTTTAACCTATTTTTCTACATGGTCGCCATTTTTGCTACGCGTTTTTTCAGAAGTGTAATCCACTTTTGCACTCCCGCCTTAAAGAAGTCCGCCGCCAACCCGTTGAGGAACTTCGTAACTACCTCTTGCAACTCCACGTCCGTCTCGAATCGTTGACCGCCTAGGTGCTCCCTCAATTTCGGAAACAGATGAAAATCGCTAGGTGCTATGTCAGGCCTATAAGCGAGAGGGGCGATGACTTTCCAGAAAAATACTTCCATTAAGTTTTTCGTTTATTGAGAGTCATGCGTACGCGCGAAGTCCTAATTGTCATGACTTTTCTGCTATCAGCATCCGCTTAAACTTCTTTGGTTTGGGCGCACACATCTTGTGGTAGCCTAAATTTTCATTCAAATTCCTATCAATTGAATCTCCAGGCGCGCCTTGCGCACCGCTCCCACTGCAGCACTGGAGATCCTTCTCGACCTACCACCATCCACAGTAACCCCATGTTCGTGCTTAACACACTAACTCACCCAATCTCATATCAGTCACCAGCACCGAGAAGACCATCCAAAATTGTGAACGGAGCTGGATGCAGATCTTATATTGGTAATGGCCACGGACACAAATGCCCCAACGTACAATTTCGATAAAAACTGTCAAACAGTAGTACCAGAAAAGAAGGCTTCGAGGAAAAGATCTTCTATACATAAACACAAGCTACTGGTACACAGGCGGCTCAAAAACTTAAGACGCAGCTGGAATCGGGATGGCCAAAATCCAAGATCTCTATAAGTAACAGTCATACAAGACCTAATAAATCAGTCGATGGTCATAAAGGCGTTAAGTTTATTGCCAATTACGTCCAAACTAGTGGGGGATTGCATGGACACTCTCAAAGAGCTTGGAAACATAAAGATAACATTGCTCTGGGTACCAGGACACGAGGAGCACAAAGGAAATGAGATGGCCGATGAGCTATCCCGAGAAGGTGAGGCCAATCGTCTTATACTTTGAGAGCCCTTCTGTGGCGCTACGAGGACATGCTTCAAGCAGTCTATAATAAATTAGACAAAAAAAGATACTATAATGGTAAAGCAGCCAATCAGGGCAAAGGCAGGCAGAAGAGTTCATCAAAAAGCAAATGTCCGCATTTACGGAGGACCTACTCAGATTTAATAGGAAGGATATAGGGGCCATAGTGGGTCTCCCGACAGGATGTCATCTAAATCGACATAGGAGGCTCTTGAGTCTACCATAAGAGACAACATGCCGTTTCTGCAGAGAGCATGGGTAAATTCCCGCGTATCTGTGTCGAAGCTATGGAGTCTAATTAAAAGATCAATGCTGGACACAGTACTTTAGAAAGTTAATATGGGGTTAAAATATATCAATTTGGGATGCAGTGACGTTAAGGCTAGCAAACTTACCCCTTTTCTGTAATCTGTAATATATAAGACGTATTTTTTTAAACTCCAGTTACTACCAAGGCCTTACGCTTAAACACCTATGGGGTACCATGGGGCTATAGGGGGATACATGGGAAAGGGGGGGACGCCACACGGACTCTAGCGAGGGAACACGTGTGCATGCAGCATGCACACATTCTGGCTCCGCCTACGAGATCCGCCGGGTAGTACCTCCGGGTACGACAGTCAGAGACCATCTACCACCTACAGACAATTACAACATTCATAGTCAACAGAAAAATTTCTCTTGGGACGGGATTTCAACCCGCGCAGCACACTGCTACTGATTAGGAGACCGTCGCGTCTACCACTACGCCACCGGTGCTGCCTGTGCTATTTGCCTGTCCATGTTCTCTTGTGTTTTCAATTTTGAGCAAACCGTACAGGATATTCAAAAATTTAATATTTCAAGGCACGTTTATATATTAGATTCAAATGCCATACACAAAAAAGGAAACCGTAAAACGTAAGTTCTCAGCTACAAGCCATTAACTGTCCCCGAATCGTCAACTTTGAAGCAAACATATCTTGTAAGCTCCCTTGTAAGAACTTTGGCTCCAGGGCAACTTTATCCCATACGTATTGTTTTTAGCATAAAAAAACTACAAGCTACTGAAATGAGATTTTTTATATGTATTTGTCTGTTTCCGTTGCCCTCGAGCTGTACTCATATACTAAGTGGTTTGCAGAACACGGAAGACCTATTGGCATGCGAAGTGTCTACCGACGAATGAGAAGTTTTTGCTTGTTTTCATACGGGCCACACTGGGTCCTCTCTTTAACTCGAGAACACCAACGTTATCGCCTTGAGTGGTACAGACAACGGCACTCTGGGATCAGGAATGGAACAGTATTGTCTTTAGTGACGAGTCTCGATTTTGTTTAGGCATGCACGATGGTCGTGCCAGGGTTAGAAGGCGACGTGGTGAAAGGAGGAATCCACAGTTTTTTGTTGAAAGACATGTTCATCACACTGTTGGAGTTATGGTTTGGGGTGCTATAGCTTATGGTTCTAGGTCACCTTTAATCTTCATCAGAGGTAACATGAACGCGCAGCGTTATATCCACGAAGTTCTAGAATCCCATCTTTTACCCTATCTTGACACCCTGGCAGATCCAACTTTCCAACAAGATAATGCCCGACCACATGTTGCAAGGGTCACAATAGACTTCTCTCAACATAATGATATCACATTGTTACCATGACCACCAAGATCTCCCGACTTATCCCCAATTGAGCACGTGTGGGATATGATGGGTAGGAGATTGCTCAATTTGCAACGTCCTCCTCAGACTCTAGAAGCACTTCGAGAGGAGTTGGTGGTTGCCTGAAATGAGATACCACAGGAGGACATTGACCACCTGATCAGAAGCATACCTAGGCGCGTTGGAGAATGCGTAGCACATCAGGGTGCATCCACACATTATTAAAGGTCAAAGGGCTTTAAAGCAGTGCAATCATTTTGAAATTTTTATCATTTACTTATTATGCTTCATTAAGTACTTATACAAAATTTTATTAAAATAAAACCATTTAAACTGGGTGTTCGGATTTATATGTCACTTAGTATATTAAGCCCTATGAGCTCTGAATGCTTGAGATCTCATTTCGTATAGTTGTAACGTTCTAAAGCTCTCAATCAATTAAACTTTTGTCGGAATGATATTACCTTAGAAATCTAATCGGCTTAAAAGTTACTGGAGTAGGTTCATATTTCTATATAATTTGAGAAGTTTGCTCATGGTATTACAGTCTGAAAGTTTTACTGTCAATTCACGCAACAGCAGTTTCTACAGCAGCTTAACTATTATAACTAGAAACAGGATAGGAAAGTTGATTTGGAGTTCTTATATACTGCATTTAAAAGTACAATGAAACGAAACGTTTCATCCTATTGGAGTTTTTCACCGCCACAATGAACAATTGCATTAGTTAGTAGTGCTAATTGGCACATATCATCTACTTTTGATTTGAATTAGGTACCTATGAATATACCAACGGATTTCCCTCCTCTGCTCCATGACGACCCCGAGTTTTAAGCCTGCAACCAGACTGGGATCTGTTTCTCACTCTAACTCGAGGAGCGCTTCATTAAACTCCTTAGAAATCCTTTGAATTCCACATTTTTTTTAAATTCCTCGATTCGCTTTGTTTGTTCATCAGATCAAAACGTATTCTGATGAGGGGTGTGTGAATATAGGTATGAGAATTTTATATGGAATCTCATGTCGTCCCTAGAGAACTGGTAGTTTCCTCATGCTTGTCATAGAGAATTTAAATTATTTTTTATTTTCCACTTTCATGGATTTTTATAAAATAGTGCAAAAAATCTATATCCGTCAAAAGGGTTTCTTCGTCTTTCCTGTATTTTTTTGATATTGTTGGTAGAAAGTAAACATATATCTCACTAGGAAAAGGTTTTCGTATTTTTATAAGGAAAAGTAAGGATTCGCTCCGCATTTTGAAAACAGGTACATATTGTCTGAGGCTACCCACCTTCCACAAAGTTGAAAAATAATATAAAATTTATCGCTTACATCGGTATCTAATCCAAGCGAAGATTTGTACCATCCATTTCTAAGACGTTTATCAAACTTGACATAAGCGATTTGCAAATTCAGGGGTAAATACATATACCGTCAGAATTCTGCAAAAGCTAGACAACTCCTGAAACGAATTATTTAGAAATTGGCATTGTTCGAGAACACTTGATAAATCCGATCGGAAAATGGGTGCGCTAAAGTTTCATAAAACATATAAAACTAGGATATAAGCAACCATAAACGAAACAGTTGTATCACAGGAATAATGGTAAACATGTGTTCAATTCAAAATGTATAAAATTGGCAACTTTGCCCACAGCGTGGTCAGTATTGTATACCATTGGTGGGGAGGTGGCCTTGCCTCCTCATGTATAAGCCTTTGTTGCTTCATATCTCCTTGGATCGACTTGGACTTCGTTGGTTTGCCTTGGATCGCCCGTCCACGGGCAAACATAATCTCAATGTCCACCCCCACAAGAAGTTGTGTATTTTCAACCTTATGTAATTTTAGTAAAGACAATACTAATCATTATATTTTCACATCACATTTTAATGGTTTTTCAGTTTAACCCGTCGTCGGTACATACTGTCAAGGACTGAAAAACGATCTTAGTTCATAATAGTTGATCCCAATAGGGGATTTTTGGATATATTCGAGCGAGGCAGATTAAGATAAGGACGGGTATCTCCACCATATAAAGAGCTAAACAGACGCGAACACATTACTGGGTATTATGTAAGGGAAAATCGTTTAAAGTTCAAATATCGCTCGTTACTCCTCTATGGTGTTCTACTATTTAGGGTTTTAAAATATAAATCTCCGAAATATTTTTTTGACACATTAGAGAAAAGATCTTCATTCCATCAACTGTTCCTCCATAATAAATATTGTTATAGTATACCAGCCCACACTATCTCAAAATTTAAAAAATGTTCCTATTACATAGCTCCCAGTATATATATATATATACACGAGTATATATATACAGGGTGGCCCATCCATATGTGGACGGAATATTACTCATAAACAAATACATTCTGGGAAAATCTACTTATGGGATGTTATACATGACATTTGAGGGCGCATCTCTAAAATATTGGCCATTGGATGACACCCAGGTTTATTGTTTTTTTTATATTGAGGATTACAAATATTACGAAAACTGTATAAATGAGGACATTAACACCTTGAACAATCTCTCATTAGGTCACAACTTGAAACTTCATCCGGAAAAATCGCATGTAATGATTTTTGGTAACAAATTTAAGACTGAGTTTTTGAAAGATAATCTCAATATAATGGCTAATAATTCAAAATTGAATTTTGTTGAAAGTACTAAAAATCTCGATATAGTTTTACATTCTCAGCTTAGATTCAAAGATCACCTCAAAAATCTTATGCAAAAATCATTTTGTTCTCTAAAAGTTTTGTATAATAACAGACACATACTAAACAGGTCACTAAAAAAAAAAAATTGGGTGAATCCCTAATTCTATCCAATTTCAATTATTGCGACTTTATCTATGGGTTTTGCTTAGATCAGGCAAGTAGAGGTCGGATTCAGATGGTGCAAAATGCGTGCCTCAGGGTTATATATGGTCTGCGTAGGTTTGATCATATATCTCATTTCTATAAAGAAATTAAATGGCTTAAAATGAATGAGCGTCGCACTCTCCATGTTTCTAGTTTCTTTATTAACTTTACTAACTATTACTAACACTCCAGGTTCACCTAATTCTATAAGAGAACGCTTAATTTTCCGACATTCTGTTCATGATATAAATGTAAGATATTTAAACAAATTAGCTATGCCGCTTCATAGTAGTGCATTGTTTCAACGATCATTCTCATACAATGCTGTTAAATAATTTAATTCAATTCCCAACCAGTTCCTTAATATTTCTCTTTCAAGATTCAAAATACAATATAAGAAATATTTGCTAAATACAAATCTGAACAAAGTTTTTTAGAATAGAGATTGAAGTTTATAATATAGGTATATAAGTAGAAAAAATATGTTAAGCAAATTTTATAGTATCCAGTAACCAAATTTTATAGTGACCAGTATTAATGAATATCTTTTTGAAATTTTAATTTACTTTCAGTCCATTTAGTGTTAACACGTGATCATTATTATGGTTATTCTGTATTGTTGTTTAAGACTTATTACTATTATTATTTTTTTTTTTGTCTTATTTTGGTTCAGTAGAGTAGCTTTAATCTAGACTTGCGCCAATATTAAGCAATGTATTCTGTATTTTTTTTTCTAAATTACCTTTGTGAAAAGATTATTTGTTTTAGTCAATAAAGTCATTTATTATTATTATTATTATTATTATACACGGTGTCCAATTTTCGACCTACATATCAAAGTCAGGATTTTTCAAATAGAATGCCTCAAATCTTATTACATATTGGGATAAAGCAATTCAAAAGAAGAAAATTGATATTAATTTATTTAATTAGCTACTGAGATATTAGGTGTTTTATCTAGAAGAACCCCAAACTTCGGCAACCCCTCAGTCCGCCATTTTGAAATTTGGAGTGCTGAATTTTGTACCAAAGAAAGCTTACACACCTCAGCTTTCATCTTATTTGCTACTTTTTCGACTTTTAATTTTTGCGCATACAGTGTGGTGAAAAACACAAATTGTGGTTTTTCTCAAAAATTTCAAATGCATCACCCTGTATATTTGTGCAAGTTTGGACTCAATTTTTTATAAGCTTTTTTTTATACTAGACACATAAGGGTTTGTATGGCTATTTTTTCAGTTATTTGC